AAATTATCATCTAATTGCAGCCCAAACCTCAGAAGATTAAATATATACTAAGGCACTTATATCAAAGCAACTACCACCAATGTCCAAACGATGCATTTGGCTTATTTTAATCATAGCCAGTAAACATATTAAATTCTGGTGAAACCAACTGGTAAACTACAGTTGGATTCACAAACACTATTGTTATTTTGTCTCATTGAAGAAGAGGTTTCTAAACACAAATGTAGCATATTCCAAAGTGGAGTACAAAAACAGTGCTTAAATATTGTCAATTCAATTCACTGAGTACTGTAAATATAATAAGATATTTCTGAATAGATTTGAATCTGAGGTTGGATTAACAACATTTTAATTTGTGGAATAAGTTTCAGCTTTTGAGAAATGTATTTCCCTCCCTATTTAATTCACCCACACAGCATTTTTATGTTTATTTTATTTTCAATCCACTGACGAAGGCTAGAAAGTTGGAAGTTTTGCACTTGTCATATATTCCACATAATAGTAAAGAAAAGAACTTCATTGGTACAGTATATAGACTACACCTGCATGTTATGGACATATGGTCCTTTTGAAGTTGTCTGTCATTCATTCCGTTTGCACATTTAAAAAAAAAGATTTATTATTATTAATATTTGAAGTAATGGTGGTGATTTATTTTCTCATGTTCTGTCACTCAGTCATCACTACTAGCAGTTTAAAACGGTAAGACTAAAAGGAAACTTGTAAGTCATCACTGATCATTTGGACATAGCTTTTCTACTATAAACAAAACCATATATACAATGGTGTTCAAATTCTGGCAAAAATACCATCATGGCTATTACAAATGTAGCTGTTAGCTCCGCTTGGCACTCTCCCAATTTATCAAAAGTTGGACCCTTCGCATCTGGATACTGTCTCCTTGGCTAGCTATTCACAGCCTGATTGGAATTCTGGTTTTCTGACCTGCATGGACTCCACGGATTATGAAATGTCCTCCAACTGTTCACAGGGAAGCTCAAATCACATCCTTTCCAATAGCTATACTGTACACGGAATAAGCCCAGCATGTGCCATGTTAGTGGACTTCACTAAGCACCTTCATTGATTTGGGGCCAGAATTCCCAAGGCTATTGTCATAAACTGGTGACTCTTTAAAAAGAATCATTATGGAGCTGGAGAGAACAATGAAATGTGAAATGGAATGTTCAGTGAAATGGAAAAAATATGTTAGATGTTCTAAAATCAAAGGACGTGATTCTCTTCTCATTTATACCAATGTAAATCAAGAGTAATCCCATTCAAGCCAATGTTGCATAACTGGTGTAAGAGAGAAGAAAATCAGATCTGGAATAGTTAGTCAGAGTTTTGCCACCTAAGCAGAAACATCTAGCCACAGGTCGAAAACCTTGGGTCATTTATTTCAGTCTGATCAACTGTTAGGTTTTTGAAAGGCCTATACAGTGCTTGCTATATAAAGGTCAAAATGTGGCATCTCTCTCCTCCTGCCCTCTCCCACCCCTCCTCGGTGCCTGGCTTGTCTATGTATTTCTTATTACTCACTTGTCCAGCCGCAGAGTCAAAATCTGCAAACTTCCATAAAACTTTTTGGTGGAACAGCAAATAGCAGAATTACATTTAGAAACAGCTCAACAGAGGTGTGTTAAAAAGTACTTCATGGGGTTCTTGAATCATACGTTTAATATCACGCCAGTCAGAAGCCTTTTCTCCTTCACCTTTGTAGTATGTCTAAAGTGCATAATATTCTCCAGACACTTTCACTCAAAGTGTTGATTCCTTTTTGGATAAGACTGTTCATACCAATGTCTGGTTCTGTAAGTACCTCATACCTGTGGCCCTGTGAGTTAGAACCCCTGAAGCCCACTCATAGCCTCCCACTGAAGTCAATGGGGGTTTTCCATTGTCTTCAGTGGGAGTCAGATCAGGAGCCTCGCTCCTTTTATTGTTTACAGTGCTACCACCACAGCAAGTAAATGGTAGAGAATGCTCCACTCCCCTTTGTGAGGTCTCATGAATCAGTGAACTGGCCTGAGTCTGTTCCCATTTAAATTACTAGTAAAACTCTCCTTAAGTTCAGTGGGAGCAGAACTGGTGTTTGCAATTATACAATTAAGAGCTAAGCGCAAGAGGAGAGAAAAAAAAACAGTAAAATAAATTCACATCATCTACATCCTAACATCTTGCCTTTATATTATTTGCCTTTTGATACAGAGTTTATTCTTATTCTTATTCTATCCTTTATACATCTAACAAATCTACTTTTTCCTTTGGTTTGGATCTGAAGGGTAAAGCCAGTGGAGTTCCACACTTGTAGCCAAGAACAAAATTTGGCTCACTGTACTGAATATTCACTCTGTGGGCCAAATTCCTTGTGCTATACCACTGAAGTCGCTCTAGGAGGGAGTAAGGTGAATAGGTTTTGGCTCATACTAGATGTTGCCAGTGCACAATGAAATGTACCTTTGAATTTAGCTGAAGTATCTGATAGTCACTGAGAGTTTGCCAACAATTGCACCACCACATTGCGCTGCATGAGCACAACAAAAATGTCCCATAAATATTCATGTTAAACAATCGATTAGCGATGTTTGCATTCCCCTTTTTGCTCTCTGCAAATAATTGCATGATTGGGTTTTCCTGGAATGCTCAAGGAACACAAAAGTTATGCTTGCCTGCTTCTGAAAAACTTCATTTTAAATTTGTTTTCCATTTGTATTCACAGCAGGAACCTGAATTATCCATATCCAATCAGGAACCATAAACAATATAACGTGACTCATAAGAATGATCATAACTAAACAATACAACTCCAATGTCAGATTGCTCATTTTAAAAGGTAAAAAGAAAAGTGGAGAAAAGTTAATCAAATAACAAATACATTTGAGGAAATCATATTCTGTTTACATCATACATTCTGTGAATGGAAAAAGAAGGTGATTTTGACAAATTGTTCGCTCAGCTCTAGGAAATAAAAATATAATTTATTTGATCCAGATTTAAATGATACTTTTTCATAAAGTCTTCTATGCCAAAAATTTATAGCTTAGGTTTCAATCAATTCTTTTAAGTGGACAAATACCAATTTTGTTCCACAACTTCAAATCTATCATGATTGTAATATTTTATTTAATCACTGCTGTTATTGTGGAATTTGGGATTTACCGTTTGCATCCAACCAGAAAGAAATGACTGATCTAGAAGAGCCTCCTCCTGCTCCCCCAGTAATTTAGTCAAGATTTAGGACCATGTCTTGCTCCTGTTATTCTCGTGAGCAGTCCTGATGAACCAATATTCTGATCTCTGTGATACAAATGTGCAAAATCTGGTCCATTGTCTTCAATGGAACTACTCACGTGAGTAAAGCAGTCAGGGTTTGTCCCATTGCAGGTGAAGGTGGTTGTAAGACATTTGGTTATAAACAGTGCTTCATTGCAATGTTTCACTTTTAATTAAAAAACAAAACCCTAGACATTGCTAAAAAATAACATTAGAACGCAGATATTCTCCTTTTTCCAATATTACTAACTGTTTTGATATCAATTTAACAGAGTTATGTATATCCTAAGCACTCATCTCTTATTGATATATATGAGAGTTGTGTGAATAGGTCACAGACAGCTCTACCAGCAGGAAATGTTAAAGCTACCAATCTCCAGAATGCATTTGCATTTTAGAAAAGTCCTATGACAATAGATCTTCAAACTGTGTTATTTAAACAGCATTTGCTCCTGTTTTTGTCTAGTTTCACTAAAATTTATGAATGAGAGTAAAAATAGAATTTTGCCAATAACTTTTCATTCTTAAATCCACGTGCATTTGCAATGTAGTACCATTTTTATGTTTGTAAATTCAGGATTCTCTCTCTCTCTCTCTCTAGTTCTAATTCCACAACCTGTCTGATTCCTGTCAAATATTCTCTGCAAATGTCTATTATATATCGAGTTAGATGTACAAATCAACTGACTTCAGGAAGGGCCTGAATATACATCAAATAAAGAAAAATAAATATCATGCCTCCAATTGTGGATTACTGTTAGTGTTCTATTGTGCCCTTGCGTGGTGGAGAATATTTACATGGGTAGCACGACTATCCAGAGTTAGAACAGTTAATGCTAAAAAAAAAAATTGGGAGGGAATTAAAACCTCATGCTTCAGAGTTTGTCAATCGCTAGCTCTTAGGGATCAATATGAGATCTCTATGGCATCAGATTACCCCATATCTGCCTGCTGTAGGTTTTTTATACCTTTCTCTGTAGCACCTGATGCTGGCCACTGTTAGAGAGAAGATAATGGACTAGATGGGCCATGGGTCTGACCCAGTCTGGCAATTCCTATTTTCCTTCATGCCCCGAGGGGTTGGAGGAAATGCAGATGAGCACTCCCCCAGCAAGTGATTCAGGAAAAGTTTTGTCTCACTTTTAGGCTCAATGTTTCCTGGAGTTCTGAGATCTGCATCCTGAGCTCCCCTTATATGGGACCAGCTGGCCAACATGAAGGGTGACATGGCCCTGCCCTGTCCTCCCTGCCCACTTTGGAATGGGCTGGTGCCACTTTCAGCATTATCTAGTGGAGTCCTTAGGAAAGCACAATGAGCAGAGTGTGCTGTGTAGGGGCACAGGCACAGGAAGGCACCTTGAACTCTTCTCTCATCAGATGCCCTTTCCCCACCACTCTAGGCCAGGAATAATCAAGCCCTTGGACTGTCGGTCAGTCTTTGCTTCCTTCAACATCAAATGTTTAGATTTGGGACCAAATCCTGCTAAGCTGGTTCATTCAGGTCTTGAGTCAGCAAGATGCTTGCTTCGCTCGAAGTGTGCCCCATAAAGTCAATAAGTCTTAACCATGGGCTTAAGCACATAGCTAAATAGGGACAGTTTGCTAAATCAGGGCCTCAGATAGTCCCATTAACATCAGTAGGACAACTCAAGTAAGATGAGCAGAAGCTAGCCCTTCATCTTCAAGATAATAAAGGGGAAGCTAGATAAAGAGTTTCATGAAAATAATGTTTAAAGTACTGTGTATTTATTATACTTAGTTGCTGAGGTTCATTCCTGCTGCAGAGTGCAAATATTAAAAGGGTGAATGTAAAGTTTGCGCCTATCCTATGAACATTACATAAATAACGCTTACCAAAAGGCATCTCTCTGTTGTTGGCTATTTTGTTGTCCCCCATGCTCAGAACATTTTTTACAACACAGTTGCATATGAAACGTTAAATATCGAGGCAGGTCACTCCTGTATTATGAGGCACTTTATATACAATAATCAGCAAACCTTTGGGAACGACTGAAGAAAAGACTTGCTTACATGTCACTGCGTTAGAAACGTTATATAGTTCCATTAGAGGCAATGGTTAATTGCTGAATGCCAGATAGAATGATTACATCTGCCATCTCTAAAAGAAGTCGGAATGCTGTCATTCACTTTGAAATGGCTTGTTGCGTTCATCAGTCTAGATGGCATAGAAAAGTTATAACCATACAAGCCATATGGAGAATGTAAAGAACAATTAAGTGCTTCCCGAGCAATGGGACTTGATGGGAAAATGTTTCCAGATGCATGTAATCCATACAACATTTGATTAGCAGAATTGGGTACTTGTAGACACTGCCCAGTTAAGTCTTCAGATTTACCATTTTTCAGATTTGTTATGCCAAGGGAAGATAGCACAGGCACATCCATCATGAAGTGGGGCAAAATATGTGGAGTGCCTCCCAGTTTTTCGTGGCTTGGAAATACAAGTGACTGTTGTCTCAAAAGGCTTGTAGGACAAATCTTGTAGTAAAGGGGCAAATTGAGATTATGTAGATATGTTTCAGGGCATGACCCTCCAATGTTGCTCGCTGACAAGTGAAACGTAGGAGGTGAGCAAGATGGAGAAAGCAAGGAGTTCAGAGGAGATGGCGTCCCACCACTTGAGGTTGTAGGTGAAGAACCAGAACTCCCATCTAAAAATGAAAGCAAAAGTCATCAAAATGATGCTATTGGATGTTAACAAATAAGAATTATGGGTGGAATCCTGACCACACTGAAGTCAATATAGTCTGCTATCATTTTCATCTAAATATCTACTGATTCCAAAGGGAATTCTGCAAGCAGGACTATGGCAAGATCCATCCAGCCATCCATAAATTATGCATCAAATCTTTGTTATTTAGGCCCCAGTTCAGCAAGGTAGTCATGCATGTGTATGTAAACATGTGACTACTCCCATTAACTTTTTTGCGGCAGGAACGGGGAAAGATTTTATTTATTAATATTTGGGTCATTTACAATAAGACATTACAATTACATTCTCTTGACATGTATAGGTACATATCTTAGTACAGAATTAACAGTATTAAGCAACATCCTGTATATTGATCATATCTTGTTATATCATTAACATCTCTCTTTTTTTGTCCCAGTAACTTGATTGGAACTTCTTAGGTGCTGAAACTCACACACATTCTTAAATACCTTGTTGAATCAGGCCTCTATGTATAATCAATTCTCTTCTTCTGTTTATAAATGAACAGTGTCATTTCAATGTGCTCTATTTTCCTCGTGATTTCCAGGGATTGTCCTTACATATAACAATAGAAATACTTCTTATTCAGCATTGATGGCGATTTTGCCTTGCACCCCTGATCACAGGAATTAACTCATTTTATTTAGTTTCCACTGCAGTTTATAAGACATCTTTAGTCACTGTTTCTCAAACAACTTTAAACGTTCTTTTCAATTTAACATCCTATTTTCTGAAGTGGATCAATGAGTGCTTTCATAAATTTATTAGAAAAACAGCATCCACTTATTTTACATTTATTAGGTTACTGGTGTATAATGCCATTGTTCAGCACAAGTTTTCAGCAATGTGTATTCCTGTTACTAAGCTGACATTATTTTAAGATGGCATCATTTAAAAGCCCCATTCTTCTCCTGCAGATGTATTAGCACAGCTCCATTGCACCTTATATCACAAAATTTTGGATCTACTTTTTTCTCATTTATTTATATGTATTAATGCTGTCATGGAAAAAAACAAAATATCCCCAGTTGCTTTTTGTCACATTTGTAAAATGGTTGTGGCATGTTTAGGATCTTTTTTCATTTACACTATAATTCAAATTAATGTACGCAAGACATGATCTGGTCAGGTTTTATATGTAATGGTCTATGAGGAATCTTTTGATATTCTATACTTTTTGCTGTCAGTGTATGAGACTGATATAATGTGAAAGTTTAAGAAGTGATGCAATGTAGAAACTATTCTTGTTCTCGGATTAACTGCAGACCATATCATGTATGTATTTACAGGAATGATGGCATATTTTTGCACATTAAGGGCTTCATCTTTTTCACACTGATGTCAATTGCTGTTTTAATATTGATTTCAATGGGAGAGGGAGCAGGCAACAGAAAGGACCCATTCTCCTCCTCCTCTCTAATTCTCATTAATATTATAGTGTTTTAGGGGCAATTTAAGCAATGTAAGATCACATTTGTGATGGCAAGATCATTATCTAAACTTGCACAAGTCGTCTCAATGCAGCTAAGTCGGGGACAGTGTGTAAAATATTATTATAAACTTAAAATGCTCCTTAAAATGTACATAAAATGGTTTCCAATAGATCTTTGGATTTTGTGGGGTGGGAAATGAATAAAATAATGCTGCAAATATGGTTCAGCATTTTTATTAGGTACCATAAATATATTGTTGCTGAGATTTTTTTCAGCATCTACAGTATTCATTTTGTCTGCGCTCTATGTGTGTCACTATTAGTAGTGCACCATTCCTTGGCAGGTCTATTAACTTTTGGAATGTGAAAATTCTTGCCCATCCGTAAGCTGCTCTACAGTTCTGATGGATCTATGTAGGCATGTTTAGACTAGATGGCCTTGTCATGTTCTGAAATTATTTAGTTAAATTATTAACAAAAAAAATTCAAGTCCTATTTAGGAGTAGCTAATGGACACATTGTCAGTGTTTTAGAAATGCAAGCAGAGCATAGCAAATCATCGCAACAAGTCACTGAAAAACTTTTCCTGGGTCACTTAGCTTTCTTTGCAGTGCAAATATTTAGACCTGATCTTATTCCCATTGAATACAATGGGTATTTAGACCAAGCTGTGCGTACATGTATCAGAGTATGTGTGTGTGTGTGTGTGTGCCCATAGCATATAAGTGAAGGTGATATCAGTATTCTCAGCCCAATTGTTCAAAAGTCAGTTGGACCCAAAAAAGTCATGACATTGTCTTGAAAAACCATGAGATTTTTTTAAATAAATCATTTGCCTTCTAGGTTTTAAGCCCTTAGGATGTGTGTTTTCAAGCTTTTCTCCACCACCAAGATGTCTAGAAACTCATTTTTATTTAAATGAAAGCTGAGATTCAGATATGTTCATATGGCCAGGAAATTGGCCATTAAGAAAAACACTGAATATTGTGGGACTAGCAATAAAACCCATGAAAGTTGGCACTTCTATGAAATGCACATCATAAATGGCTTTTATCATGCACCTTTTACCATCTTGCCTGCACTCTGCCCACTAATCCATCTCCTCTAGGACTATTTCTAACATTACAAACTTCTGAACAGTATTAGCTATCTTTTGCTTAAGGCCGCTTATGTGTAATGCAGCCATCCAAAACTCATGCTGAAAAAGCTTTTATAACATCCCACACCATCATTAATTCTATACAGTATTTATGTGTGTAGCCTCTATATCTATGTATCTTGAGTTCTTGATCTTATAAAGTAGAAACCATTCACATTTTGAGATAATGTGGGATGTATATGCCACAATATAGAAATCTTCAAATTTTTCATAAGGTAAATGACTGTGTTAAATTGGTAAGCATAGCCTTTTTTTTTTTTAAGTGTTTTCCAGTGGTAGAGTCACAGTTTTTCATCTGGCTCTATGAGCAGACATTCTTCAAGCAAAACTTCCAGTGGACATTTTGCCTGTGTAAATTCTGCAGGATTGGGCTCCAAACGAATAATTTCTCAATGGAGATAATTTTTATTTGAAAAATCTTGCAACACTTATTTGCAGCTTTGCAGCAGTTAAATGTCTTATTATTGATAATTTCTACATATTGTATCATATTCTTTACTATTTAAGCATTGGATTTTGTTTATCCAAAAAAGAATAGTAGCAAACCATAGAAAATATAATTAGATATTATTATGATCCTATTTCAAGATAATTTTCTAGAATGGAATGGACAATCACAAGAAATGTCACAAAATCCATACAAGATAGCAAAATAACAAACCTATTCTAAATATCCCTCCAAAATAGCTGAATACTATTTTTTCATACAAGTTATAGGTGTGAATCCTGCAATATTCTCAGCTCCAGTTGAATGGTTAGTGGACATTAAAGCATTACTAAAATGTTCATGGGGCAAGTTTCATACTCCTTAAATTAATTTCTACAGGAGTCTTTCTTGCATAAGGTATGTGGAATTAGGTCTACGGAATGTTGTTTGGTATCTACTCACTTCCTCTGTGTAATATTTATTTTATTGTATGTACTCTTATTTTTAGATTTAATACATGGACTTATCAAAATCTTTAAGTTTATGCACAATGCTAAAATACATTAACTACAGCACTTAATAATTAACTAATTGACACATTATCATGGTAAGAATACAGACTTCACACCCGAAAAAGGTGGAGCTCAGACCAGCAGAGGGAATGAATTTTATAGCAAAGGGTCCTTCACTGAAGATGCCCCACCACCATCATGTTCAAATATGATGGCATTAACTCAAGCATCTCAAGGTGGCCTTTAGTCACCAGATAAAACATAATGTGACAGATGGTCTTTAAGGCTTCAAACCTACAATAAACTCCAGGAGGGTGGAATTTTGCACCTCTATGGAGCCCCACTGAAATGGTGCAAGGATCCTCCTGGGCACAGCTCTTTGCAGGATCAGGGCCTGAGGTAGCTGTCCCTAAACGAGTTGTTATTATTGACTTAATATATTTACTTTTTTGTCCTTTTTAGATATTTATTTATTCTTCAATGTCATTTGATTTGAAAATGAATAAAGAGTTAATGTAAAAATATTGTCTCGCTCACAGAAACAATCAACTAGGTAGTTGTTATTAAGCATAAACATCAAGAAAGGACAGAGGCAGTAAATTTTAATTCTAATCCTTTAATCACAGTGCCATCACCTAGAATGGCATCCTGCTAATGTCATGTCATTTCACGCATGCACAACAATTAGATTATTTCTGTTTTACGCTTAATTTTGTTTACACTTTAGAAACCACTTGAACATTCGAAACTCACCTTGGGTTTCTGCACCAAAGGTCTTAAAATCCAGAGTAAGTGGTGGCCTCCATGGATATGTTTCCAAAAGTCCATCCAGCACTCCCCTATAAAGTAGAACTTGGAAATCAGTGACTTGGTGGATATGGCTCCTGCAGAGAATTACATTTGCGGACTTCCTGCCTTACTAGATATCGTTCATAAAGAAAGATTACATAAATATTCTAAAGCATTCTCTTGTCTTTCTTTCCAGTCAGTTAACAAAGTCATTTCAAATCTAAAATTAAAATAGTAAATTAAAAGTAATAAGAAATAGAGCACAGATCTTTTTACACACATGAGAATGTATAGAATTTGTGGATGACAATTTATAAAAATTACCTGTTTCTCCCAGGGTCTCTAAATCCTTTAGCAAAGGGATTCCTGTCTATTTTCAGTTTGGTAATCTACAGATTAAAAATTACAATAATCAAATAATTGTAGTGAGTAAATAAAACCAGGCGAAAGTAGGATTAAAATTATATAACAGGGGTATAGCTTTCCTCACTTCTGCTGATTGTTATATTGAATTGTATTGTTTAGATTAAAATCTGCTTTCCTGGATCCTCCATATAGCCCTGTTGACTTCAATGGAACGACAGGACAAGATTTGGCCCAAATATGGCAATTGTTTCTATTATAAATATCCCTCCCTCCCTATGCACTTTAAAGCAGCACTTATTAATTAATTATGATGATGATTCCTTAATCTCACGCAGATTGAGTTCCTTTCCCTTTGATATTTTCTAAACAAGTTTCCCTTCTATTTATTTTATCTGCAGTTTTGTGCACGTGTTTTTAATGCTATTTCCATAACATTGTACCGCGTTGTTTATTACAAAGCACCGCCTAGCTCCCCTAGTGCTGTGGCAGTCTGTGAGAGCAGTGCCCGGTCCTACAAGGTGCTGAAGTCAATAGGAATAGGACTCAGCACCTCGCAGCATCAGGCCTTTTCTAAATACAATTAGTTATTATTATTATTGTTGTAGTCAAGTCCCTGGGGAGAGCAAATCTCCAGGGATTTCTTACTGAAAATACCAGCCCTGCGTAAACTGGCAGTAACAGGCCACAATATATCCTAGCGTGTGTTATGGAACATGCTCAAAATTAATAATAAAAAACAAAGTTAAAAATCCAGGATTCCAGCTGCGGTTCTGTTTCCCAGGAATCCAGCAAAGGTGAAGCTCTCCTTGTTCCCGGGGCCGCTTTACCTGTTGGTTTTGATAAGCCGTTACAGTGGTGAATTCGGTTTCCTTAAATGAAAAGGTTTTAACCCCTTCCGCTGGCAGAGACTGGATCTGGGCCAGATCAAATCTGGAATCCTGCACAATCACGTGCACTCTGGGTTTGTACTTGTGCATGGACTGCAGGATAATCTGTAAATTACAAGGAAAAGAGGGTGAGCAGCTCTCCCCTCCGCACAGAAAGGGACAAGAACCCCTGTGTCCGACTGAAATTCTTCTCCCATTAGCAATAGCCAAGGCGCTCCCGCCTGCTCCAGTTCCCCGAGCTGAAGCAACTGCCTCGAAATCAATTCTCTCCCTGACTCTGAACACCGCGTTAGTAAACTCGCATTTGCGTTCGCCTCTGGGAAGATTCGTGTGTGTGTGTATGTGTGTGTGTGTCCGTCCATTTTGCTTTGTAAAGCCCCGTTTGTTTTATTTTGCAAATACCAGCAAAACACCCACACCCTCCCCAGCTTCAACGGCTCGGCTCTCTGGTGATCGTTTCTCCTCCGCCCCAAATCCCCACTGGCAGCGCCTCCTCCAAACTGCTCTCCCGATCTTCGTACAATATTTCGGGCGGAAAACAAACCCCCCGATCCGGATAGGAATTGGCACTCGAAAATCCAGTTCGTTTAACTCAAGAAGAAAGGGACAGATTGTAGCTGAGTGTGGGATATTCCCTAAAAATCTACCGCCCCCCCAGCAGTGCAGGATTTAGGCGCTTTCTGTCACAAATGACTGCAGTGGAAAGGCTGTAAGGTTGCGGCTCTTGTGTGCAGCTATAACCCTCCTTCCCGATCTCTGCTGGGTGCTGGGCACTTGGAATAACGGGTCTCACTCAGGCTGGTGCTCATGGACACCCACTGAGTCCGCGTGGCGCTTCCCTGGCTGGCATCTGACTTGCCTGAAAAACGCTTTGCGTCTTTATCAGAGGGGTAGCCGTGTTAGTCTGGATCTGTAAAAAGCAACAGAGAGCCCTGTGGCACCTTTAAGACTAACAGATGTATTGGAGCATAAGCATTCGTGGGTGAATACCCACTTCGTCAGACGCATGCTTATGCTCCAATACATCTGTTAAAGGTGTCACAGGACTCTCTGTTGCTTTTTGCGTCTTTAGGGTCTTGGCCTCACCCCAAGGGGGGCCTGGAGCCCCCAGCGCGGTTCCTGGTCAGTCCCTCTTTCCTCAGCTTCCCCTGGAAGCATGTGCCCCGGATCCAGCCACAGACTGGAAGCGGGATGGCCCAGGGACAGCGAGAGAAAGCTCCGCACACTGTTCAAGTGCATTTATCCCGCACCCAGCACTGCAGCCGCCTAAACCCCTTCCCACCTCTGCCCGTCCAGGGGCAAGTGACGATTCTCTCCAGACAAGAAATCAAGCTGAGGGGGCTGCGCGGAGGGAGGGGGGATCCGCCTCCCGGGGGGCTGCCGCTGCCCGCCTCCCTCCCCCCTGCCGGACGAGAACCGAGCTAAGTCCACACCTACATGCCCTTTGTCGTCCATCTCATTGTTGGTGAGTTTCACCCTGTCGAAGCTGATGATTTGCCTCATCCAGGTCTCTCCCGAGCAGGGGGAATCCGGGTGGATATAGAGCCTGGGCGTTATACAGGAGTGGTCTGTGTTCCCAGCCACCATCCACTGGGAGCTGTGGTAGACATACCTAGAACGGGAGGACACAGCGGGGTCAGCAGACAACAGCCGGAGCCCGGGCCGGGCTGGGCACCGCGTCAGCTCCCCAGCGGTGGAGCTTGTTTCCCAAGCCAGGCTGTGCCCAGCCAGGCCTGCAGGGAGGTGTATGCGCCCTGCATCGGGAAACCCAGCAGCTGGGTCGGCCTCACCCATCCCTTCAGGGCTGGCAGCGCAGGGGCAAAGGGGGGGGTACTCCTGGCCAGGAGAAGCAGGACCCCCGCGGGCTCTCCGCGCTGCAGACACTCTCCCTGCGCGCACGTGCGCCCGCTAAAACAAACTAAAGGGCTGCAATTCAAACTCGGAGTTATCAGTTGGTCCCGCTGCTTTGTCGGCCTCTGCCTCGTCATCTGTGTCACCGGTGTGTATGTGGGAGTTAGGTGAGAAACAACTCTTCCCCCCACCCCCGGTTTCCTTCCTGGGTTTAGGTTCCCCGCCCGTTCTCAGCTCCTGTTCCTGGGCGGTGGAATTGTCCCTGGGAGCTCGGAGCCCCGCCGGCCGGCGCACAGCCCCGGGGGGCGCTAGTTTCATTGCACCCCGGGGCCCTGCGGGTTGATTGCGCTGGGGGGCGGGGCAAGGCTGCTTGTTGTGTCTGTGTTGGGTCATTTCGCTGTTGCACCCAAAGCAAGGCCGGCTCTGAACCTCCCTCCGGTTTACACCGATAATCTTTGCACAAACCCACACACCGAAATAGCCCTTGGTACTCGGGAGCCAGGGCCTGTCCCCTCCGGGCGGCGATCACCCCGTGTCCCTTTCACACCCCTGTCATTCGGTGACTGCTGAGCAAGCCGCACAGACCCGCGGAGCTGGCTTCCCCTCCCCACCCCCACCCCAGCACCCTCGGGGGCTCCAGGCCACAAGTAACCTGCCTAGGGGCTGGGGACTGGGCGCATTGCCCTGCCCCGGGTGTGTGCGCGCCCAGGGCAGGGATGGTCAAGGGAGCACCGACAGGCGAGGCATACTACGGAGCTGCAAGATGCCTCGGTCAAGCGCAGAGACGCCCTAGGCAAGAAAACTCTCCCGGGGGTGTTTGCTGCGCAGAGAGGCAGCGGGGCGCGCTTTGCAACGCGCGAGTGAAACTGCCGCAGGACACACGTGTGAGAGCCGCCGCTCTGAGGCTGGGCGCTAGGGAGTTTCACCGAAATGAGGTGGGGAGAAGGCTCTTTTGCTGGTCTGACTCGTGGGTAATCAGCTAGTTATTGTAATCAACGTGCATGGTGCAGGCTGGTTTGGTTTCGCTGTAAAACACGCGGCATTTGGTGGATCCGTTTCTTTACCTGTATCTTTTGGAGTCCACAGGAACCACGTCAATGGCGACGTAATATTGTTTCGCTGGTTCCAGACCCTTCACTTTCACCCTGACAGAGGGAAACATTCTCCTGCGGGATGGAGAAAGGAGCCCGTTATTCTCCCTCGTTCGCTTGAAGCTTGTAAGGCGGGAGTAAAAAGTTTCAGGACAAAGCTCCCAGTTTAAAAGTCGAAAACTATTTTTTTTAATAATCCCTTTCGAGGAATGGGAAAATGGGATTGCACCGAAAATATGAGGAGTGAAATCCTCTGGGAGTTGTCGCTCTTAGTACAAAACACTACACAGAATGTGCGGAGTAAAATATCTGTTATGCGCGGGTGTTCATGGAGATAAGGAACATTTTAGCTGTATGTAAACAGTTGCTGTAAGATCTACTATATGGGAAATATTAAAGTATATGCATAAAAATGATCGCTATAAGTAAAACAGAATTCCACTGATCGTGGTTTCTAACATTAGGTTACATACCCGCATTTGTTGTTAACGTTTGTAATGTTGTTCATATCGATATTGCTAATACTCGCGTTGATTAAAATATTTAAGAGAAAACACACACCAAATATAGTCTGTAGGAGATATATTGGAACATTAAGTATGAAGATTTTATAGGCTACTATTCCAGTTATCATGCATAAATTCATACTACACTTTTTTGAACGCATGGCTACTGGTTTACTTTTGGTCCAGTTGCCAAATCTTTGACAAAGGGGTTTAATGAATGGATTCAGTTTTATATTTTACAACGCTCTCTAGAACGTCCCGTTAGCACAAGCAATCGAAAGCACAACAAACGTATTTAAGAACCTGGGTTTTTCTTGGGCCAGAAGACACCCTATGGCTATCACTCATGAATTACATGCAAACACCCAGACCCCAAGGCTTACTGGCTCTGCCATACCTGCCGGCTTTGGTAATAATCATTTCCGTGCCGATCTCATGAAATCTTTTCCAGAGTTCAGATCCTTGCAGTTCCACGTGGATATCATCCTTCGCTTCTCGACTTTCGGCGCTAGCCGAGAAAGAAGCTGATGTGCCTGCTTTAGGTCTCTTTTCTGCCAGGAACAGAAATGAGAAGCATTTACACGATTCCTGTTCAGAGCAAGTTTACATGTACAGAAATGCCCCCCTGCCCCTGAATTAGCCTGCAGAGCCCCCACCCTGGGCACTGGCTTTCTGGATACAGGCTGCAGCAGAAGGGAAAATATTTAATCTATAATACAGAATACTGATGGTTAGTCTAGTTTACTCTAAATCTAGACTAACCATCTCTGCGAGCGCCTGGAGATTAACAGGGCCCGGGGGTGGAAAAGGAAGGCAAAGGTTATTTTCCGTGGCAGGCACAAATCCTTCTGTGTCAAACCTGAGCCGAGGGCAGCGCTCCCTTCTCTAGTTACGGGTTTGCACAGGAACCGGGAACCCGCTCAGGTGAGACAGGGCGTTCGGGGAGTTTATTCAAACCACCGGGAAGTTTCGCGTGCACCACCTGGGCAAGTTCTTCGGTCTGTTTCTGTGAAACCTGCTGGTCTGCCGGGCTGGGGAAACAAATGGAGATGCGGCTCAGCTTCCGCACGTCAGCCAGAGAGCTCGGGAAGTTTTTCATACATGGCTGTAGTTTTGCATGTATGCAGATCTCAGGCTCCCCGCAGCCTCTCCCCGTGACCTGGCTGCGGAGTTTGAGGAGCGGAACCCATCTTGCGTGAGTTTGTGAAGCCCTTAGCCACGAAGGAATCTCTGCGCCAGCTCCTGTCAAACGTTATTTAAAGAGAAAAACGGGGGATACTAACCAGGTTCCTGGCTTTTCCCGGTCCCTCTGCAGCCGGTCCCGTCCTCCTCTCCCTTCTCCGCGCGAGGCGGTTGTTTCTCATCTCTGAAGTCCTGCAGTTTCCTCTTTGCGGATTTCCCGACTAAGGCTTCAACGGAGAAAGCGTGAGCTCGGGAGCTTAGAGCCATCCCGGCGCAAATTGGATCCTCCCGAGCGGAACTTCAAGCCTGATCCTTTAAAAACGGGAAGGAAATCCCCCAAATCCTAAAATAGAGCGAAAAGTCCCCTCGGGCAGGAGCGGTAAGGTTCTTCCTGACAGCCCCTTCCCTCGCACTGCCTCCACATCGTGCATGCGGGCACCCGCGGCAGGTTAAATCCCTCGATTTATTCCTCCTGCTGGTTCTACGAGATTGGCAAGGGGAGGAATTTTTAGGGAACAGACCTGCCCTCACTGGCAAACGGAGCAGCTCCGATTGGGGAGCAGCCGCATGAGAGAGATACTGTTGCATCCAACTGAATCAATAGAAGGCTGCAGGCACCACTGTTTGTTTTGGAAACTGTTGGGAGCGTAAAAAACATTGAGTGACAGTTCCTAGGGCTAAGGAAAAAAGGGGGGAAGACTGAAAAGGAGGGAGGGAGTGGGGAAAAGAGGGAGTCTGCCCCGTCTAGGATAAATCAAAGAGGTTACTGTTCTGCATTCAATTGTAAAAGCCAAAGAAATGTGACATAATTGCACACTAGGGGCCACTTTTCCAACAAAAGTGCAAATAATGTTTAACCAGAACCAGCAAAAATCTCTCTAGGCTTTTGCTACCCCAATTAAGACACAACGTGTGTGATTCACTTCAACTGCCTTGTTTTCCCTCCTCGGAAACCTAAACGGTGCTATTAAAGCAAACTGACCTCTTTTGGGGTTTTAAAGCTCATCGAGTCAAACTGTAGTCCCCTACCCCCAGGTGTAGGCGACTCCTTCGTATGTGAGAGTAAGGGCAAGACGAAGGGTTTTTTTTTAACAGGATCAAGGATGTAACATTTACACGTTTTCACTTCCAAGGCAGGACAAGGACACTGCATCACTGCCACCCAGGAGCGAGCATCTGCAGCAGATTAGAAGGGGAAAAATCAAAATATTTTATTCAAATTATTCATTTCAGTTACTATTGTTAATATTTCAGCCAGTATATTTTATAATAAATATAATTCGAATAGCTTCGCGGTATTGCAGATGTCCATATAACAGACAAAGGCAAGGCTACAACACAAGTCTTCAGAGATTTAAAATAATAAAAATGCAACGATTAAGTTACCAATTCTCAGAACAGATCTTCCCCTCATTTACTGATGAACAGAAATATAATCTGAGCCCTGCAAAACCCGGTCATTCGAGGGTATAGTTCCTTTCCTTTGAAACGATTTCAGCTATAACTCCAGTGACTAGGTTTCCAAATATTACAAATCTCTTCTTCCTGCTTGGAAATGTTATTGAAAAGTGCCTTAAAACAACTTCCATCCCGTTTAAAATGTGACAGAAAGGGAAATAACTGTATATTTATCCTTGCCAACCAATTTATACAAATATAATTCACTCATTATTGAGGACTACTGAGAATGTCAATGCATCATTCGTTCCTCCTTTCCCAGGATAAAAATGCTATGTCGTGTATTGAGAATATTTATACAATTAGGAAAAGTCTTGGATACTATTGTTAATATTTCAGCCAGTATATTTTATAATAAATATAATACTTCGCAAAATCAGCAAAGTTGATTCATAAAGAACCTCGATTTAAAAAGCAAAAGCAAAATCAAACCAAACAGCAGGATTTACATTCTGCTCTAAATCCACAACTCTTATTTATATAAATCAAAAATTTCTCTAATTCAATAGCCACTTACATTCCGGGATCTCAAAGCGCTTTTACAGACATTAATTGAATTAACCTCCCAGACCTCCTGGGTGATAGGTAAGTGTAAAAAGATAAGAACAGTCTGGTCTTGATCGGCTAAGGAAGTCCTGAGGATGAATCAGGACTTGACTATTTTTATCCTCTTCAGAGGTCAACGGCACAGCAGTTTCAATCCGTCTGATCGAATATGTATTGATTACTTTTTATGCACCCATCACACTTGTCTCTAGGGCGCACACACACATTCTTAGAAACAAGACAAAATGGAGCTGCTGAAAAACGAACAGACTCACTCAACCCTAGGCTTAGTCCCTCTCCAGCAAAAGCTTCGGGAGATGAAATTAACGTGCCCCAAGCAGACTGAGCAACCAGGCCCGTTGCCAGCGATGTGCACAGAGGCGTTTGGGGGAGAGAGGGCAGAAGCCACTTTCCAAGCAGGGACCTGGGTGCAGAGCTGTAGTACAGCCCGTTCTCGGTCACTATCCGTGGGCTGGAGCAGCGAGTGCACTCACACGTTTGCCCTCCACCTGCATCTTAAATGGCGCAGGGGTATTTTGTGGGTGAGCTCCATACCGAGGGCAAAGTCACTCCGAGTGAACAGATGGCCTTTATACCACGCCCTGTGGCCTTGATCTCTCCCAGACAAAAGGAAGAGGGGAGTTCCAGACCTGAGTCTCCCAACCCGGACCCCTTGCCTAGTGCTCCCAGATGTTCAAATCCAGAGGCTTTTAGCAAGTGTTCCAGTTGATCTCAACAGCCACAAAGACAGGTAGTTTCTCAGGTAGCTGGGGCCAAGCCGGTACATGCATCTTGATCGGCTGCCATTGAATTCAGTGAACCAGATTATTCACCTCTGATGCCAACCTATGTAAATCTCTGCCTCCTGACTGGCTCAACAGAGGTGTATTAAAAGCTTTGTTCTGGATCTCTGTCTTCACCTCCCCAACATGTTAGTTACTCTTAAAGTAGAAGCAGCTGTGACTCTTATGCCACTCTTTGTAATGGGGAGATTTCCAGACATTTCTCATGAAGACACTGGGAACGGATGTACCCATTCCTGTGGTGATTTCATGTTTGAGCAAACTCATGGACATTTGAACAGGCCATCAAGGGAGGTTGTGGAATGCCCCTCACTGAACATAAGAACATAAGAAAGGCCCTACCGGGTCAGACCAAAGGTCCATCTAGCCCAGTATCCTGTCTACTGACAGTGGCCAATGCCAGGTGCCCCAGAGGGAGTGAACCTAACAGGTAATGATCAAGTGATCTCTCTCCTGCCATCCATCTCCATCATCTGACAAACAGAGGCTAGGGACACCATTCCTTACCCATCCTGGCTAATAGCCATTAATGGACTTAACCACCATGAATTTATCCAGTTCTCTTTTAAACTCTGTTATAGTCCTAGCCTTCACAACCTTCTCAGGTAAGGAGTTCCACAAGTTGACTGTGCGCTGCGTGAAGAAGAACTTCCTTTTATTTGTTTTAAACCTGCTGCCTATTAATTTCACTTGATGACCCCTAGTTCTTGTATTATGGGAATAAGTAAATAACTTTTCCTTATCCACTTTCTCCACATCACTCATGATTTTATATACCTCTATCATATCCCCCCTTAGTCTCCTCTTTTCCAAACTGAAGAGTCCTAGCCTCTTTAATCTCTCCTCATATGGGACCTGTTCCAAACCCTTAATCATTTTAGTTGCCCTTTTCTGAACCTTTTCTAGTGCCAGTATATCTTTTTTGAGATGAGGAGACCACATCTGTACGCAGTATTCGAGATGAGGGCGTACCATTGATTTATATAAGGGCAATAATATAGTCTCAGTCTTATTCTCTATCCCCTTTTTAATGATTCCTAACATCCTGTTTGCTTTTTTGACCGCCTCTGCACACTGCGTGGACATTTTCAGAGAACTATCCATGATGACTCCAAGATCTTTTTCCTGACTTGTAGCTAAATTAGCCCCCATCATATTGTATGTATAGTTGGGGTTATTTTTTCCAATGTGCATTACTTTACATTTATCCACATTAAATTTCATTTGCCATTTTGTTGCCCAATCACTTAGTTTTGTGAGATCTTTTTGAAGTTCTTCACAGTCTGCTTTGGACTTAACTATCTTTAGCAGTTTAGTATGTATCATCTGCAAACTTTGCCATCTCACTGTTTACCCCTTTCTCCAGATCATTTATGAATAAGTTGAATAGGATCGGTCCGAGGACTGACCCTTGGGGAACACCACTAGTTACCCCTCTCCATTCTGAGAATTTACCTTTATTCCTACCCTTTGTTCCCTCTCTTTTAACCAGTTCTCAATCCATGAAAGGACCTTCCCTTTTATCCCATGGCATCTTAATTTACATACACTGGAGGTTTTTAAGAACAGGTTGGACATACACCTGTCAGGGATGATCTAGGTTTACTTGGTCCTGCTTCTACACCGGGGGGCTGGACTTGATGGCCTGTCAAGATCCCTTCTAGCCCGACATTTCTATGATTTCTATTTCTATGATTCATTGTCACAAATATTTTCAGGTAAGCCATGCACGGAAATCAATTGGCTTGATTCCGCCCTGCTGGTAGAGTGGCTGCAAATTGTACTCCCTTTCCCCAGCAATTGCTGGCAGGCAGGGTTTGTCTTCCCGTGCTCCCTAGGGTTCCACCGGAGGAGGGTCTGCTCCATATTGTGGCTAGGCCTCCATAGGAGCCCCACCAATGGAGATTGCCTGGAAACCGCATTCAATCAGCAGCCCCCAGCAACTTGGCCAAACTCCTCCCACTTTCTGGAGCTGTGCTGCCTGACTCCGGGGTCCTGCCAGAGCAGGAGTTGCAGGCCCCTTGCACCAGAGCAAGCCTCTGGGCAGCCTTTCTACCCCCTGAATCCCTGTGCTGACATAAGGCCTAGAGTGAGTCAGTCCTAATGTTGGGGTTTTACCCTATATCCCAGACCCCATAGAAGCCTTAGGCCTAAATGAGACAGCAGCTCACACACAGACACACATTTACATCACAGGGTTCATGAGGCAGAGCTGTACCCTGATTATGCAGCAAAGGGGAATTATGCAGCCATTTATAGGAGCAAAGCTTTGGCTTGTTAGAACACAGGATCCCCATCTGGCAACTAGATCCCTAAGTAGCAACTGCCTCTGCTGCGTCCTCTCATCCCCCAAGTTCTGCAGCCCCTATTGTCACTGCTGCCTTTGCTCCCCCACTCCTTCAGCTGGTCACAGTCTCTGCTCCTGCAGGGCTCATAAGACCCACTGGCAAGGGACAGATTATAAATTGTTGATGCCTCTCCTTTCCCCAGCTGGTAAGGCTTAGAGTGGAAAGTCCACCGCCATCCCTGAGAGAAGGCCTAGGCAGACTGGCAGTTACTTTTGCCTTTGTTGGTGTCCTCACTCTGGAAAGATCATCTTGCTGCCTCTCACTCTGTATTTTTAAGGACAGCATTCTTGGAACAGTCATAGGAAATCCATCCCCTTCCACTGCTGGGGAAAGCACAAAGCAAAGAAAGAGACAGGGAAGGAGAGAGCAAGAAGATAAAAAGGCCCTAAAAGAAACTTAAAAGCAGAGGTATGCAGCATGTGTATGCATTCATGTGCCACAAACAGGGATTTATGCTTCAGTCTTAATAAAAGTTAACATCCACAGACATTTCCAAGGTTGCATAATTACATTATGCGCAAAGCTTGAACATAACCATTTTACAGCTGGGCAAACTGAGGCATAGAAAAGCTTAAACGGTTTGCCCAAAGCAGTGTAATTCAGTTGTCAAGGGTGTTCTTACATAACCACCTCCCCACTCTACCTCGTGGTGTCAGCCTTAAATATACACAATAGAAGTGGCTTCATGGATTACAAAGGTGTAAGAGTCTAATTTTATTTTCATATGCCTTTTAATCGTGTCCCCAGCATTTGGAACATTAGAGTCTAGTGTCACTGTCAACTTTGAGAGTGAGTTGGGATAAATGTATAATATTCTGACACTGCAGCAATAGCAAAGAAATTTCCGGACTGCCTGAATCCTTTGCAAGATGTGGAACATTTCTTGTTCAAGGGAATAGGCAGCAGCTTCTGACTCTAGCTCTTACAAAGCCAGACACCAAA